ATGAAAAAACACACATTCATAGATGTAAATGGGGACTGAATTTATTCTGTACTCTGTTCTTACTTATGTACCCTAGCTTGGTGCTGTGTTGTCTCACAGGAAAGCATATAATTTTATCATTTTATTATTCAGCTACCTAGAGGAGACAATCTTATCTGTCTTCTTGGAGAGGGCACCTTTTAATACCTTGCATAAAGATTTCAAGTGTTCTAGTGGTAATCCTAGTACAATGAATACTTTCCTATTCTGGAATTTGGGCCATCTCTCAGCCTTTACTCTAGCTGGAACTGATATCCAGCAATAAAATACCTCCCCTATAATTCCCAAAGCATGTTAACTTTAATTCACTCTCACATATAACTTTTATATTAGAATTCTTTACTTACATATAGCAGAAATTGATTTGCATAAGTTAATTAAAAACAGGGATATTTGGAAAGATCTGGGTTGATCAAATTCAAATTGAAATGCTGGAAATCAAGGCCTTGAGTTCAGAAACCAGGGAGGCATTTTGGTAGTAGAACTCCAGAATCTTCAATCAAGTTTAAAAATTTAAGGATAAATAATCTGATTATTTCCTTGAGGTATTTTCATTTCTTATTAGAGCAAAGGTCAGTGAAAGAATGCCAGATGAATAAAACAACAATCAAAGGAGGTAAAAATAGAGACATGTCAATATATATAAATATTGGATATGTTGAATAAGCTTTTTATTGGGGGTGGGTACTGGGGATTGAACCCAACACACTTAACCACTGAGCCAAATTCCCAGCCTTTTAAAAATATTTTATTTAGAGACAGAGTCTCGCTGAGTTGCTAAGTGCCTTACTAATCTGCTGAGGCCAGCTTTCTACTTGCAATCCTCCTGCTCAGCCTTCCGAGTTGCTGGGATTATAGGCATGTGCCACTGTGCCTGGCTGAATAATCTTTTAAATATATAAATTGGAATATCAGAGGAAGGGACTAGATTGGAATAAACAATTAGGAGTCAAAAGGATAATTGAAATAATGGACAAGTCTTAGATTGCTCAGGAAAAGAGCAGGAGACCATGCATCTCTCCATCTCCTTTATCCAGGACAGACACTTTTACTGGAATAATTTATAGCTAGAGCATTGATTCTTTTTTTTTTATGGTGCTAGGGATTGAGTCCAAGGCCTTGCACATGCTAGGCAAGTGCTATGCCATTAAACCACATCCCCAGCCCAAGGATTGATTCTATCTTGAGGGGGATAATGATATTCCTAGAGACTGGGAAAAAATATAATTCTACCTTGGAAACATTTCACATGATAGGAATTAAATTTTTATGTATAGATTTTAGTAGCATATGACTTCTTTCTGTCAAAGTTATAATAAATGACATCTTATTTTTTTCTCTTAACATTTACCATTTGTATTGTACCTGTCCCCATGCTAAGCATTTTATGAATGCCATATTATTTAATCCTCACAATTAATGAAGTAGATATTATTCTATCAATCATATTTTACATGTGGGTTACTGGAGTCTTAGTTTAATTTACTCAAGTTCATTTTTCTAGAAAGATTGGAAATGGGACTTAAAGTTTATGTGAGTTCAAAGATATATCTACTCCATATAAGATGATAAAATACATTAGCTATAGTTTAGGATTATTTAGTCCTTACTATATACTGCATAGTGGACTGACTAAAACTTTATATGCCTTATCTCATTTGGTCTTCTTAACCACCTTATAAGGAAAGTACTGTTGTTATCTCCACTTAATGAATAACAAAATCTGATGTGTAGAGATGTTAATTCCATGGTTGTCACATAGTAAATGGTAGAATCAGGGCTTGAACATACTTGTTGGATTCTAAAAGTTCTGTGCTTCACTAATCCATTTTTTTTTATCAAGAATAACCAAATCTTAGAACAGTGGCTTTCTTTGCTGGCCATGTATTGGAATCACCTGGAGATGCTTTTAAGAAAATCAATGCCAGACCTCACCAAAGATTCTGATTTATCAAGAGTATGGGCCAGTAATTGGATTATCTTTAAAAGCATCTATCCATTCAATTTATTCATCAAATATTTAATATCTACTCTGTGCCAAATATGTACTAGGCATATGTGTTCTATCAAGATTTATCAGTTAGCTATTGCCACAGTGGTATGTAGCAACCACATAATCTCTGTGATATTAAGCACTTATATTATCACAACTTTGGAGGCCATCTGGGACTCAGCTGCTTAGCTCTATTGGGCAACTGTAAGACTCTACATTTTTGATCTAGGATTATGGGTAGACTAGATGGTGTGCTTCACATACTCCTCCTTCTTGGACCAGTGGACTAGCTGAGGATTGTTTCTCTTAAGACTCCTCTCCTAATAGTAATGGAATTACAAGACAGGGAGAGATTCAAGATGGCAGATTAGAGGAAGGCTCATTTCTAGTTGCTCTGTGGCTTGGAATTCAAGTAGCAGGAGTATTGCTTCTCACTGAGGTGGGTGAAAGAGCAATCTTGCCAAAATTCAATAATTGGACAGAGTGTCTTAGAGACTCAGAAATTCTGGCATATTGAACAAAGAAGAAAGAGTACATAAAATCAAACTGGTTGCAGCAGAGGCAGCAGTCTGGTTTACCACAGAGGGGACAACACAGAGAGAAACACAATAAACAAATTTGCTACAGAAAACCCTGTAGATCAGAAAAGCTGCCTGAACTTTGTTGAACCGGAAACTGCACCACAAACTGATGTTTTTAAAAGTGGTCTGTATTTCTCAACTGGTAAGCGGAGAGCTGAGGCAGGAGCCATTTTGAGATAGCCATGTTGCAGCTAGCTGTTTCAGGAACCCAGGAGATCATAGCAAACATAGCTATATTCTCCTGGCAAGTGCCTACTGTGTGGCATAGGGTGTATCTAGCAGAAAACATGAAAGAAACAAGCACAGGGAAGATTGTTCCTGGGGGATTCAGTTAGAAAAATGAAGAGGAGCTGAGTTCACTTCTCCTTTGAGTCTGATGGCTCATGTGACCAGCTGAAGAGGCTATGGAGTCTTAACAGGTGGATGTGAATATACTCAATGACTAAGTGTGGATAGGCTGTGTTTGTGGGCAGCAGAGTGTGTATAGAGTTGGTTCCCCTGCCCAGTAAGTAGAGTTCTTGGGAGGATCCTGAAATTTAGACTCCCATCAGAGATCAGCATCTGAGGGGGCCTAGGGGTGTGTTGATCTAATCTCTCCAGAGCAGATAGCATCCAACAAAATCCCTAAGGCCTGATTAATCCTACACCCTAGCTGCCAGAACTTTCCTTATAGAATTTTGCAGCAGCCCACTCTCGGAGTGCATCTGTCTCGTCTGTCCAGACAAAAATCCAATCAGCAGTACATACCACTTCATCCAATCTTAAACTGGTGAGAAGGGAAACTAAAAGCTATTTTAGATTCAATCCTTAGACACTTGAAATGGCAGCTTTGTGAGCAACACAAAAAGAGGAAGCACTTAATAACTCCCAGCCCTTGCATGCATGCATACCCCCCACCTCAGTACAAAGCCCATATGACCTAGCTAGCTCTACCATTTCTTGGTTTTCATCCTGAACAATCTTGTTACAGTGATAACATGTACCCCCGTGTTTATAGCAGCATAACCCACAATAGCCAAACTATGGAACCAGCTTAGGTGTCTGTCAATAGATGAATGGATAAAGAAAATGTGATAGATATAAACAATGGAGTTTTCATCAGTCATAAAGAAGAATGAAATTATGTCATTTGCAGGAAGATGGATGGAACTTGAGACCATTATGTTAAGCAAACTAAGTCAAACCCAGAAGGTCAAGGGTCATGTGTTTTCTCTCAAATGTGGAAGCTAGAGATGAAAAAGGAAAAGAAAGGTTGAGGTGGATCTCCTAAAATTTAAAGTGGGATCTGTAAAACAATAGAGGAAAGTGACCAGGGGATGGAGGAGGGGAGGGGGGAAGTGCAGGGGAGTGATATTAGCTAAATTTATTATATTGTGTGCACATATGAATATATAGCAACAAATCCCACCAGTATGTACAACTATAATGCACCAATAAAAATGTGGGGAAAAAAAAGAATTTCAAGAGGGGGCATGTCCAATTATGGGTGTACTGTTTTGGTCAAAGCAAATCTCAAGGTTGAGCTAAAAGGAAAAAATAGAAAAATAAACCCCACATTTTTGTGTAGAATTGTAAAGTTCATGGCAATGACTATAATACAGTTTAGGTGAGAAAACTGACAAATAACAATAAGTGTAATACATTGCAAGGTCCTTGCTTAGCATCTAGATGGTCATTTTTAAGAAAAAGTTTTGCTTTCCTGCCCAAGGTCCTGTCTGAGAAAGGTTCACCACTCCCTCATACCAACCCAACCCTTCACTGCCTAGATTAGGACCCATGCAGCTCTGATTCCTGAGCCTGCCCTATAAAAGTTGGAACCCAAGCCTGTATTGCCTCTCTCCTTCTATGGAGAGATGGCCTTTATTTGTCAGCTCTGATAAATAAACTCTTGTGTGTATCTGTGCCTGGTCTTTGTCTTTCATTTCTTGCTCACCCACCTCCTGGTTCCTTGCTTTCCCTTCATACAAAAGTAAATGACTAAATATATTAGAATGTGATAATTCATATTGCAAAGAAGGAAAATTAGTTCCAGATGGTAGTATAAAAATGATTCTAATATGCAATGGTATAACTGAAAACCACTTTTCTTTCAATGTGAAACCTAAAAAGAAAGAAATCTGGTCTAGCATTTCCTCAGCCATTTTGAAAATGGTAACACAGACCAAGAAAAGTAAATAATTTTACACAAATTCCATAGGTAGACAGAAATGGAAATAGGGCCCATGTCTCTTGATTTTCTAGACTATTTTTTCTAAACTACAGCATTCCAACATATAGTCTTAGAATTCTCTCTTTACCAAGATCACCAAAGATATTTTGTAGAAGGGTATTATAGCTGTTATTTCTATTTTCTTGATTTTCTAGGATGAACAGTCAGAAGAAAAGATATGGAACCTGCTTGTACCTGGAGTTTGTTGTCTGCAGAGAAAGGTAATTGAATGAATAAGGAGTATTCTAGATAAAACTTTTCATTCTCTTTCTTTTATTTATCATAGCCTTTGTGATTCTTCTGAAAACTTAAATTTTTTGTTAGATATATGTGTGTGTATGTGTGTGTATCTTAAGATATTACTTGGATACAGTATTTACTTCTTAATTTAGAATGGACTGCACAATTTTTGTGTTGCCGAAAATGAGGAAAAAGAAAGCAGAAAGGTGAAGAGGCAACTGTGGTTTATTATTTTCCATAATCTCCAAAGCATTCATAATCATATAATCAGAAAAGGCTCATCATCTCCGTTTGCTGTAACCACAGCTTTCTAACAAGAGAGCACAAAAGAGCAAAGAGTAAACTTTGCTAGAGTCCTCCCCTGGTGGCTGATTCCTGAACTACAAGGAATGTTTAGCAGCTGGGAACAAAACCTGGTACCAGTCTCTTGCCTTCTCATTTCTGTGACATTCTAATGTCTGCCTCTGCAGACCCTGCTTCCATCCATCCACCTTTATCACCCATCTAGTCACACCTTCTCCTAGAGATTGCAAGTAGTAAACAAACAATAACTACTACTATAGGAATGTGGACTTGTATGCTTGCTTGTTTATTCTTATTTATTTACTTTTATGTGCACGTGTTTGGATTGAACATGGATATATGTATGTGAATGTAGGCCATTGTATATATTGTTAAAGGCCAATGCTTTATTCTTTCCCATTTACCAAGTTAGGCTCAATAGGCTAATTAATGTTCAATGGAAAGAAAAATAGCAGAAAACAGTCATTTCAAGTATTGTATACATCTTTTTATGCCTAAATTTTTCTTATTAATCATAAGTTAAAATGTTCACAACCCATATATGTATATAAGGGAAGTTCTTACGTTTTCCTTTATGGTGGACATTAGCTATAAAATATCTTTGTGGGTACATTAAAAAAAGATGTGAAGTGACTTACTTTGTTCCTTGTATTTCTGTTTGAGGAACAGTATGAATGGCTGTAGCAATGTGGCTATATTTCTGTTTGTTTCAGGTATGAAGGTATATTAGGTATGAAAGTATATTTGTGCTTCTCCTAACTCAAACTCTTCCTCCACAGCTGCTTCTTGTTCTCTGGCTTCGTTTTTCAAGGAAGGAGCTTACAGGTAGATGTCTTTTTTATTTTACCCTCTTTTTCTATTTTGGGATTAGTGTCTCTCATGAACCACCTTCTCATCCCCAACCTTTTCACATTTCCACTTTATTCTTTAGCAATCATTAACAAAAGTTGTTAAGAGACAGATGTAGAAATTTTTATAGGCTAGCAAATTCTCTTTGGGAATTATGTAAATAAGGATCAACAAACTGTAGCTAGTAGGCCAAATCCAGCCAGTTGCCTATTTTTGTAAAAATGTTTTACTGGAAAAGACTATTCATTTACATATTGTCTATGGCTGCTTTCATGCTAAGATGGCAAAATTGAGTAATTGCAATAGAGACTGAAAAACACAAACTATTCATGACAATTTTTTCAGAAAATATTTGCCAACTCTTATGTAGTTCAGCATTCCCCTTCATTCTACAGACATTGTTTTCCAGGAGTTAACAACTTTGCTGTTAGGGTTCTTTAGTCATTTAAGACCAGAAAATGTTAGATTAAATGAATTTAAATAGCCTATTTAACTTGAAATAAAGAAGCATTTCATAAGCTAATATCTAACATTTAGAAACCCGGGGAAATTTATTTGGTCACAGAACACCTTTTTACAGCTTTCCTTACTAATATATCGCATAATAATGTTCTAAGGAACAACTCATTTGGAAAATACTGTGTAGACATTCACATAACAGTAGTTTTAACTGGATATCGGATTTCCTGAGTTACTTTTTCTAGATGCAGGTGAAAAGCTACTTAGTATAGTGTTTAAGCACATAAACCTCAGATAAACCTGGATCAGAATTAAAGCTCTTTCATTTACCAGAATTGATCAAGCTACCAAATGCCATAAGGAGGACTGACTATATAATTTGCAGTTTTGTACAAAGTGAAAACACAGGATCTCTTGTTCAAATGTTAAGAATTTCAAGACAGCAATAGCTGAATATTAAATCAAGCATGGGTCTTGAGCATGAAGACCTGACACACACTCCAGAAGCCAGTCCTGGTTATATGTTTGAATTTCTTCATCTATCAAATGTGGACAATACCTAACTTTTGAGATTGTTTTGAGAATTAAATCAGAAATGTATGTAAAGGGCCAAGCACAATATGAAGCACAGAATATTTAATAATAAATGAGTTGCTTTTAATTCAAAAGCATTAATAGCCATATTCAATAAATATGTATTTAGTGTCCACTATGTGCTCGCCACTGTGCTAAATATTCTGGGTACTGTGGTAAAAAAGACAGATAAGACCTTTGTTGTCATTTAGATTATTATTTAGTGGGGAAGACAAATAATTGAAGCAAAAAAATAAGATAATTATAAATTGTGATAAGTGACATACTGGGAAAAATAGGGTGCTGGGAAGAGGAATAGTGGAATGAATCTTAATTTTGGTGGCCAGGCAGAATCTCTTCTGAGAAGTCCTATTTGAGATCAGAAGTATAAGAAGAAACTCACCATGGGAAGAACAGGAGGAAGAATATTCAAGGTAGAAAGGACTGCTAGTGAAAAGGCTCTGAAGTAGGAGAGAAAATGGTATTTATGAGAGGCTTTGGTGGAGGAAGTAAGGAGAATGATATAAAATGAGGCTGGGGAAGGGAGGTAGGTAGGGTCCAGATAATGGAATACCTTGTAGGATGAAATAAGGATTTTGTTTTTTAGACCAAGTGCAATGAAAAGCTCTTGAACTATTTTGGACAGGGCAGTGACATGATCTAATTGATGTTTATAGAAACTCACTTTGGCTACTTGGATCAGATAGATAAGAGTAGAAAAGTAGGAGTCTGTTTCAGTAGTCCAGTAGAGTTCATAGTACCTTGGACTTATGTGATCTTGAGGACATGCTGATAAATAAATGAATTTGAGGCTTATGCTTTTTAAAATTTTATTAAATTTCATTTCTAAATTTTATTTTTATTAGTTCTTTTTAGTTATACATGACAATAAGATTTATTTTGACATAATTAGAGAATCATGGAATAAAATTTGTTCTAGTTCACTCCCCAGTATTTCCCCTTCCCTTCTCTTCCTCTCACCCCCCTATTCCCTTCTCTGCATTACTTTGATCTTTTTGCTATTTATTTTTAGTTTTTTTTAATTTGTTTTGTGGGTGTTCATGATGGAGAGATTCAATGTAGTACATTCATATATGTACATAGGAATGTTAGGTTACATTCATTCCACTGTGTTTCCCTATCCCATCCCACTACCCTTCTCTTTGTTTCCTTTTTCCTACCCCACTGGTCTTCTTTTTTTTTTTTTTCTTGGTACCAGGGATTGAACCCAGGGGCACTTAACCACTGATACCTATCCTCAGCCCTTTTTATATTTTATTTTGAGACAGGGTCTCAGTAAGCTGCCCAAGGCCTCACTAAATTATTCAGGGCATCACTTAGTAGCTGAGGCTGGTTTTGAACTTGAGATCCTCCTGCCTCAGTCTCCCAAGCTACTGAAATTACAGGTATGCACCACCACACCTATCGTTTTTTTTTTTATTTTCAACCTCCCCACCTTATTTCGGACTAGCTTCCACATATCAGAGAAAACATTCAACCTTGGACTTTTTGGGTCTGGCTTATTTCACTTAGCATGGTAGTCTCCAGGTCTATCCATTTACCAGAAAATGCCATACTTTCATTTTTTATGGCCAAGTAATACTCCATTGTGTATATATACACGTTTTCTTTATCTATTCATCTGTTGAGGAACCCCTAGGTGGTTCCATAGCTTAGTGAATTGAGCTGCTATAAACATTGATGTAGCTGTATCACTAATTTTAAATCCTTTGAATATATACTGAGGAGTGGGATAATGAGGTCAAATGGTAGTGTTCCATTTCTAGTCTTTTGAGAAATCTCCTTACTGCTTTCCAGAAATCCCTTTACTGCCTCAGCCCCCTGAGCCGCTGGGATTATATGCTTTTGCCACCACGCCTGGCCTGATACTTGTATTCTTGATGATCGCTAAGGCTTATTTTTGAAGGTATGAATAATAGACCTTGTTAATTGACATAGATAATTGAAAGAAAAAATAAACATCTCAAAGTTTTTCTGATCAATTAGATGGCATCATTTTTTAAAATCTCTTTTTTTAATATTTATCTTTTAGGTGTAGATGAACACAATACAGTGCCTTTATTTTTATGTGGTGCTGAGAATCAAACCCAGTTCCTTCCCATGCTAGGTGAGCGCTCTACAGCTGAGCCACAATCCCAGCCCCAGATGGCATCATTTAACTGAGATAAAAGATGTCTGGGTGAGAGTAGTTTGTGGGCACTGGGGATAGATAGGTATATAAATCAAGAGCTCAGGTTTAGACATGTAAAATTTGAAGAGCCTTTGAGTCATCTAAGAAGAGATGGTAGTGATGGTGGTATTAGTCATAGTTGTTGTTTGCATTGCTGTCTACGATTCTGTGATTATTTACTCTTGGTGTCACCTCATTAGACTACCAGGAAATATACAGAAAACATTTAAGGGAAAAACACCTAAAAATAGGAGTTGATAAATGTTATCACCATGACAAGCATGTAGAGTCACGGCTGCTTCTTGTAAAAGAGAATTGTGTATCAGAAAAGACACCATGTGGAATTCCTCAACAATATCATTTTGTTAAGATGGAACATGTATTTTGACTATCTCATTTATGTCAGTTGCAGAGAAATCAGCCACACTAATAATCTTAGTGCTGTTGACCTGATCACTAACATATTTCAAGACATAAAGGGACCAATCCTGGACATTATACTTCTATATCCAGAGAAACTTCTATTTATTCTTGATGGATTTTCTGAGCTGCAATACCATGGGGGTGACCAAGAAGAGGATCTTACTGATAATCCCCAGGAGAGGAAGCCAGTAGAGATACTCTTGTGCAGTTTGGTGAAGAAAAACTTTCCTGAATCCTGTCTCCTAATAACTGCCCGGCTCACAGCCATGAAGAAACTCCACTCTCTGTTAAAGCAACCTATCCAGGCAGAAGTCCTATAGTTTACAGATGCTGAAAAAAGAGCATATTTCTTGAGTCAGTTTTCAGGTGCTAATGCAGCTATGAAAATCTTCTATGGTTTGCAAGACAGTGAAGGCCTTGACATTATATCTTCTCTTCCAATTGATTCCTGGATGTTATGCAGTATCCTGCAGTCACAGGGAGATGTTGATAGAACTCTTCTGCAGTCCCTTAAGACCATGACTGACATGTATCTGTTCTACTTTTCTAAGTGCCTCAAAACCCTTATAGGTATATCAATGTGGAAGGGACAAAGTTGCCTGTGGGGCCTTTGCTCTTTGGCTGTGGAGGGTCTACAGAAGCATCGGGTTATGTTTGCATTTAGTGACCTCAGAAAACATCGAATAGGAGTTTATGATACTGACTGCATTTTTCTCAATCATTTCCAAAAAAAAATGAAGGAGATGTCAATGTCTATACTTTTCTTCACTTCAGTTTCCAAGAATTCCTGACTGCTGTGTTCTATGCCCTGAAGACTGACAAAAAAGGATATTTTTTGTCATGTGGGAAAAACATGGCAAGAAATATTCCAACAATATGGAAAAGGGTTTTCATCACCAATGATACAATTTTTATTTGGCCTCTTACATAACAGAAAAGCAAAGACTGTGGAAACTACTTTTGGGAGAAAAGTCTCTCCAGGACTTCAAGAAGAGTTACTGAAGTGGACCAAAAGGAAAACAAAGGATAAATCTTCTAGATTACAGATTAAATCAGTGGACTTGTTTCACTGGTTGTATAAGATACAGGAATAAGAATATGCAAAAATGATAATTGATAATTTACAGTCAATTGTACTACTCCAATCTACCTATACAAAAATGGACATTCTGGCTATGTCGTTCTGTGTAAAAAGCAGTCACAGTCCTCTTTCAATGTCTCTGAAGTGCCAGCACCTACTTGGGTTTGAGGAGGAAGAAAAAACCATGGCATTAATGCCAACAGCCTAATCAGTGAGTATATTCATATCCTTCCTCTAGTTTTTTTGGCCTTATTTCTTTTTTATTACTTATTTATTTTAAGTACTTAGGCATATGATCATTTCAAGTGTCATCAATAAGTAGAAGTAATCACCTCAGCTTTTCATATTTTATGTCAGTCAATAATGTAAGGATTTACTGATTATCTACCATGCATTGAACACTAGCCTAGGTAAACAATGAGGAAAGCTAGTTTTTTGAGCACTTACCATGTACTGGGCGCTGCGTGTGTGTGTGTTTGTGTTTGTGTGTGTGTGTGTGTGTGCGCGCGCGCGCGTTTTGTGTGTGACGTGCATGTGCACATTAGTCTTCATTGTCACTCTGTGGATGTGCTTTATCATTATAAAGTGTTATAAGCATTTAAAATCTTCAAGATCCACGATTTTGGTGTCAGTGACCATTCTGGGAAACTTTGCAAACCTAACATTGGATTGGTTGTCACTCTTCTGCATGTATACTTCATCACTGAGACCTCAAAAATTTCCAGGTTAAGAAGAGGAGCTACATGTCTGTGTATCTTTCTGTAGCACCTGAGCTCTTCCTATCAGACCTTTATAGAGGACTGAGAGCTGAAGTTCAAAGAGACATAGGTAAACCACTATAATAATATGAACTCTCTGTATACGAGAAAATGCAATTCTGCTTCCTTTTTATAGTATGGATTCTGTACACTATATAAAACAGTTCTATTGACTGATTAAAGCAGTGAATAACTATATCAATCTGTTCCCAATATCTGAGTTATGAAGGACAATGCCTCTTCCTTATTGTGGGGCCAGCTGAGTGGTAGGGGACCTTGAGGAGAAGAGTGAACAGAAAGATCTCTTAGAGGAATGCATTAATCCTATTCTTAGCTCTTATAGATGGATTTCCTCAGCTGGCTGTAGCATAGAGGTGGTAATGGGCAATGGAGAATTTGTGTTTGAGGGAAATAGGGAGGGACAGGGAGTGCAAGAAGAGTTTGTTTAGAACTAGCAGGGACAGGGGTAGGAGAGGTTAAGTTAACAAATAATTATGAAGGATCTTGGTTATAAGGTCCCAATGAAATCGTTGTATATTATAAAGTAAAATAATTGACAAATACATTTGAGAGATTTAGAAAACTCTCAAATACATTTGAGAGATAGAAACAAAAGGGACTTCTGATTAATTCTGGGTTTCCAGAAAGTCAACTTTAGATGGAGTCTCCACCCCCTGCCTTTATTGCTTTTATCAGAGGGCTTAAATGCCTGTCAAAATTTAAGCCAGAACATTTCTTTCCCAACATTAGCATATTGGTGAAGTGAGACTACACTGTTGAACTTAAACTTGAGTTTCAATTACTATAATTAGTTTTTCTATTTGAACGGACAACCAAGAATCAGTTATATAGTACAGGTAGCTTGAGGAAGTCACTTGATCTCTTAGAACATCTGCAAAGCGGTGATTATAATTTTATTTATTTATTTATTTATTTTACTTGTCCGAGATTTTATTAGCAGGACCCTAGCGGCAAGTCACAGAAGTGGGGGGGGGGAGAGAGGAGAGTAAGAGAGACAGGGAAAGCAAGAGAGTAAGAGAGGGAGAGTAAGAGGGCGAACACGAAGAGGGTGTTGATATTTATGGGCTTAACACAGATGAGGAGGAGCAAGGCAAGTGAGCTGTTACTTCTTTATTGGCCAAGAGTTCATGCCACTTCAGGGATTGGAGGTGTGCCATTCAAATTTTGCATCATTCACAGGGATTGGAGGTGATGGTTTGCGCACCATTCAGTGCATCATGGACCTCAGCTCCTGGAAGAGAAGCACCTCCGGGTGCTATCTTTACCAACATTCCTCCCTTTTTTGTTTTGGTTTGGGGATGTCATACTTGATCTGGCTACTTCCTGCTGAGTAGGGGCATCATTTAGAGGGAGGGAGGTCAGTTGGTTGGAGAAGAAAGGCCAGGAGGCCCCATATCCATGCACTGAAGGCATGGATTTCCTCTGGGGAGAAGTCCATGAATGTGCCCTGAAACTATGAAAGAAACAGCATTAATTTCTGGCATGTCATCCAGTCTGTAGGGATGGTAGAAAAAAGCCTATGCCCAGGCGAAGGCAGATTAGAACATAAAGCTGAAAATCAAGGGCTTATTTTTTTGGCATGGTGGGGAGAGATGGCCCTTCGGTGGAGTTGTCATTTGGTATCTTCATCTTTCAGCACTCAGTGGAGATTTCTTGGGATGATTGGATGTGCATTTCGTCTGGCTCATTGGCCAGTATCTGGTAATACCTGAGGAGGAGCTGGTATGTGTACGGCCTGGGTTCGATCCTCAGCACCACATACAAACAAAGATGTTGTGTCCACTGAGAACAATCTGCAGGCTGCCGGTGGTGGATGTCAGGCAGGCGATCAGAGGAGTGGACTATGAAAGGAATGGCTGGGCTCAGAGTTTGGGAACAGGGTTCTGTCTTGAGCCACGGGGATCCCAGTCCCGAATTTCGGCATCAACATAAGGAATGGAGGAAAAGATCCGTAAACTCAACAAGCCAAAAAAACCATTTACCTATCCAAGATTTTATTAGCAGGATTGTAGCGGTCAGTCACAGAGGAGAAGGGGGGAGAGAGAGAGAGGGAGGGAGGGAGGGAGGGAGGGAGGGAGAGAGAGAGAGAGAGAAGAGAGAAGAGAGAAGAGAGAAAGAAGAGAGGAGGGGGGAGAGAGGGAGGAGGGGGAGAGAGGAGTGGGGAAGAGAGAGGAGAGAGTAAGAGAGAGAGGGAGAGCAAGAGAGTAAGAGAGAGGTGATTATAATTTTAAAAGCCAATAAATAAATAGAAGGAGAACCAGTAGAGAGAGGGATTATGGGAGGGAGAGAGGGAGAGAGAGAAAATGGAAGCACTAAGGATTGAAATTGAGCAAATTATATGAATTTATGAATATGTTGAAATAAACCCCATGGTAATGTATAACTATATAACAAAAGTTTTAAAATCGTGATTATAATAGTCATTATGTTAAGAGCCAGATAACCTTGATGCCTGGCACATAGTAGCATGGATTTGGAGTAAGACCCGATTAATAGTCTCAGTTCTTTGTCAACTTATATGATTTTGACCAAATTGCTTAACTTTTTGTGCCTAATTCCCTAATCTGCAACAGGGGGTGACACCTTCTAAGGTTTTAGAAGAGTCAATTAATACTAGCATAGAAAAAGTAAGCTTTTTGCTTAAAGTTTTAAAATTATTTTTGTTTTCTCATCTCTTGTAGGTCCTTTTAGATGCGCAGTTTCCTAGTGTCTCAGCTACACTTGCTTTGCCAAGCACTGTGTAATCCATAATGTAAAATCAAAGATCTGAAGTAAGTTGAACTTTACTTTAAACTCTGAAGTATTTGCAGGTAAATACTCGGTTGCCAGAAATTGCACTGTGAGCTTATTGGACCTGAAAACAAAATATAACTAGTGTTCAGTTTGTCCATAGTGGAGTAGCAAATAAAAAGATGCTACAAACCTAGAAGAAAGGTGTGAGTAACATCTTTGTCCACATGCCTGGTTTTTGTAGGTACTGTTTCTGCACATAACAATACACTGCAATGAGGGGGTGGCAAGTTGTAACACCTAAGAGATTTGTCTGTGGTTCGTTCTGGATCTACCCCTCTTCCTTTTCCTACCAGACCCCTGAGATCCTTCCCGTAAATTTTCTTTCAGTTGGGTCCTGTCCTACTGTGGAACTGCAGTGTGGTGATCATTTTCTCTCCCCCCATGCCCAATCCACTGCCCCCATTTATTCATCAAAGTGCCCCAAGAAGCCCCCATCCTGGACCTTTTGGATATTTGTCCGCATTACAAGCATATAAGCACAAGCCTCCTTGATTTTCCATATCTATTTTGCCACATAGATCAGTGTCTGCAGTCCTTCTCCTGTCCTATCCCAGAGGAAGAAATGGCCTTTCCAAACCCAAAGAAGCCAGTAAATTGTTTATTTGTATTTTTGTGAACATTTCATTGTTTTACTTTCACATCACAGAATCTTAAAACAATATAAAAACCTTTCATCCAGCTGACCTATATTCCACCCTATCATCCATGCCCCCAACCTATTGCCTTCCATTCCCTGACCCCTAAGACCACCCTCTCTAGGGTAATATCTTCTTTGCTAATATGTTTCCAGATCTTTTCTCTCCTCACACAAATAGGAATTTGTAACATAAGACAAACATAATCTATAAAGATATACAGCATACATAAAGATACAGAACTATGGAAGGTTTGTTTTACACAAAAGTGACTTATATAATTGTTTTTTTCATTTCACAGAACAGTAACTATGCCTCAAATACAATATGTGGACTCTACCTCATTCTTTCACATATTTCTTGCATTTTCAAGCTTCTTTCTGTGGTCTCCTTCCCTATGACTCAAGTTTCTCTCAATATTCAGAACTCTCTCTCAACCACATGTCCTGCCTGTCACATTCAAACTTTGTCCTTATAAACAGCTTCCCCTCAATGACTCCACTTCTGCATTTCCCATTTACTCACTCCTTGCAGTTTGGCTTCTATCCTGCCACTCCCCTGAATTTGCTTGAAGATCCAAAGTAAATGCCAAGCCCAATGGACATTTTCAGCTTTTGTTTCTCAGGGCCCCTCAGCCTACATGACCTTCTTTTAAATTTGGTTTCTAGTTGTAGTTGGATACAATACCTTCATTTTATTTTTATGTGGTTCTGAGAATTGAACTTAGTGCCCCACATGTGCTAGGCGAGTGTTCTACCACTGAGCTGTAATACCAGCACCCCCTACACACCTTCTCTTTTGATTCATCCCCCATTCAAACTATTCCTAATTATTTTATTGCCTCCAGCCATCTCCAGCTGGGATGATTTTAACATTTTGTGGATATCTAGAGACACTTTTGTCTGTTATGGCTGAGTGAGTGGGGTGGGTACCATTGTCATTTAGTGGATAGAAGCTAAGGATTCTGCTGAACATCCTACAGTGTACTGGCAAGCCCCCCATAATAATGAATTATCCAATTGTAACTGTCAAGAGTACTGAGGTTAAAAAACACTGTCTAGAGGGATATAAACAAACCAAAGACATTTATGAAATGTAAAGTTTAAATAGCTGGCCCCTCATTTGGATGGTGATTGTCCACACCCTTCCCAACAGGAGGCAGCCGAAAGTCACATCTCTGCTGGATGTCCCAGAGCCATGGCAACTTTCTGGTATGTAGGTCCACAGTCCCTAGGTGATGTCCAGGACTCATTGTGCTCCAGTTGCACACCTCCTCCCCATCCTTCCACCTGAGGGCTAAAGCACACTTTTAGTCCCCTTCAACACAGCTTATGGTCACCAAGGGGAAAAGCAGACTAACCTCCCACCTACCCACTTCCCTGACTCACTCTCATCTTCCTCCCACCTCTCCCCCTCCCACTGGAGGTTGATTTCCCATTGGATATGCTTCTGTTCTATTTCACATTTATGAATTCACTGAGAGCTTTATAGCCAGATTCCCTTACCACATTTTTCATGGTGGTGGGTTGGAGGAGAGAATGGTCTAGATGAGTATACCCTCTGAGTGTTATGAGTTTCTGACTCACCTTGGCAGTGGTATGAGTTCAGATCTGTCTCTGGTTTCATCTACTGATGAGTGGGGAGGATTCTCCTCTCATGAGACTGTGCAGTTATAGGAGTCCTTGCCGGCAGCTGGTGCTGCTGGCTTCCTTTGTATGCAACCCTGTGGGATTCCCTTGGGGTGGCAAATCTCTGCTGTGTTAAGAATAAATGTGGGGCAGGGCATGATGGTGAATGCCTGTAATTCCAGCCACTCAGGAGCCTGAGGCAGGAGCATTGCACATTCAACCCAGCCTCAGCAACTTAGCAGGGCCCTGGTAATTCAGCAAGACCCTGCCACAAAATTTCATACACACACACACAGCTGAGCATGTTGCTCAGTGGTTAAGCACCCTTGTGTTGAATCCCCAGTACTAAATTAAGCAAACCTGAGTTAACCCCAGACTTGTTCCAATTATTTCTTATTATTTATTTAACTCCCTTGGAACATGAGCCATTCTATTCATTTTGCTCCTGGGGACTTTGGGGATGCAGGAATTCCTTTTACTTGACAAGCCTGATGGAACTCCCCAGCCAGTTCCAAAATTTTCTTTTTAAAAAAATTTTTTTTTGGTTGTAGATGAACACACAGTATCTTTATTTCTATGTGGTGCTGAGGATTGAACCCAGTGCCTCACACATGCGAGGCAAGTGCTTTACCACTGAGCCACAGCCCCAGCCCTCCAAATTTTTCTTTGATGGTTTTTTGTTTCAAATTTCTCTGCTGGTACCAGTTTCTGACTGGGAAGTAATCTGACTCTCCAGAATAGGAACCTATTCAAGTTAGCTTAAAGAAAAGGGTATCTAGGGCTGGGGTTGTGGTTCAGTGGTAGCACACTTACACTCTTGTGAGGCACTGGGTTCGATCCTCAGAACCACATAAAAATAAGTAAGTAAATAAAATAAAGTTATAAAAAATGTTTAAAAAAATAAAAGAATATCTGGGTAAAGTGGATCCTCATGTAGCATGATTGCAAGATGTGAAAGGAATTGCATCATAGCCACTCTCTCCAGCTCTCTAGAGTTACTGGATCAACTCCTCTATGCCTGTCTGTACCCTGGAAACTCATGCTGGTGTCCTCTAAAAGATACCTCTGTAAAGCACTCAGTTTTGCTCCCCTGTTTTCAGGGCCAGGCCTCAACAAAATCACTCACTGCTTTATTGACCAACTCCATCATGACTATGGCATCTACCTCTCAGTGCTGATGATCTAGCCTGGGAATCTGTGTGGCTCAGGATAAGACTCAAATGACCAGTCCTATTTCAACCATCATAAGGACTAGGTGGGCAGAGGATGGCCTTTTATATACATGGATTTCCAGGCCCACCAGACACTAGGATGGGGAAACAGACAGACAGACATAGATCTATCTCTATTGATCTATAGATAAATCTATAAATCTACAGATCGATAGATATAGATATATGTATGTACACACACATACAGAAGCTTCAGTAATTCTAGTGTTGAATGATAATGCTCTGTAATACAAGAGGTGTAATCTGACCTGGCATGGTGGCATATGCCTTTAATACCAGCTACTTGGGAGGCTGAGGCAGACAGATTCCAAGTTTGAAGCCAGCCTGCACCACTTAGTGAGATCTTGTCTCAAAATAAAAAATAAAAAATTAAAGGGACGGGGGATGTAGCTTGATGGTACAGCATCCCTGGACTCAATCCCCAATACTACAAAAGGGGGGGGTAATCAAAGCATGTCTTTCCCTCCACCACCTACACCCTCCCCATCTCTCATCCCTTACTTCCCTCCCACCCTTAACCCCCACCTTCCACCCACCTCTGAAAATTGATTTCCCACTGGGATATGCTTCAGTTCTATTTCATATTTCTGAATTCACTAAGGGCTTTGCAGCCAGATTCCCCTCCCACAGCGGAAGCAACTTTCCCTTCGTGAAAAATTCACAGCTTTACACCAAGGGCAGTCCCAATCCCCAGGCCGGCGAAAAACCGGAGGTTTTCTCTGCTGATGGGATTCGAAGTCTTTCCTATTAAGTATTTCTGGAGGGTCTAATCCCTGGGCCCCCATATCAGACCACCAGAGGCTAACATCAAAGGCTGAGCTGTGGGGAAGCAACTGAGGTGGAGTAGGTGCTGTGACCATGCCTGTTGGTGGGGATGGTAAGGGTGAGGCTGGGAAGGGGGACAAAGGGGATGAATATGAGTAAGAGAATGAGGCAGGGAGCTGAACAGAGAGGGGTTCTGATGAGGCTATGGACCCAGAATTCAGGGTCCCAGCAAGAGAAAACATGGTATTTTCCATGGATCTGTGTTCTCCCTCCCTCTGCCCACCAGAGGTGTAATTTTTTGGCTCAGTAGTTCCGAGAAGCTGCAGGAAGCTCCCACCCATCTCCTGTTCGGCCTCCATGGGGGCGGCTCCCACTGTATCACTCTCCTCTCCTCTTCTTCCTCCTCCTCCTGTAGCATCATCTGCAGCAGCTGTTGCTTCTTCCATCTCACCTGTTACTTCGGTCCCTGCCCCTCTGGCAGTGGCCAAGCCTGGTCCCTCTACAGCCTTGTCTGGGAGGGCCCTCAGCTCCTGGGGATAAGTGGGCAGGGCTGGAATATGTTCTGTGGGAAAGTCAGGGGGCAGACCTACTATTGGGGTAGGGGGTGGGGCAAGGATGGTGAGGTAATCTTACCGCCCTGAGAAGCTTCCACCTCAGTAGATCCCGCTCTTTCTGCACCTCTGCCAGTTTGGCCTGGGCCAGCCGCAACTGGAAGGCAGCCTCCTTGCGTTCCATCTCCTGCTGAGCTCCAAGCTGCTTCAAGTCTGAGGCCAGGGCATGGGCAGCTGACTTGTGTAGTTTGGCAAAGTCGTGTAGCCACTGCACCCTGCGTCCCTGTAAATGCCCCTGCCTGCGAGCGAAGCGCACACCCAGAGCCAGGCTGCTCCAAGCGCAGGCTTCCTGGGCCTGGCTGGACATCTCGCTGTCCTCCACGATGGTTCTGATCTTATCTTCCACCTCCTCCCAGGACAAAGACATATTCTCAAGGTAGAACTCAGGGCCTTTCACGTGCCTGGCCATCTTCTCGTTGATGAAGGCCACAACCTTGCCATGGCGAAACCCACTACAGGGGTCGTCAGGTTTCAAGGCCATGATGTTTCAGGACCTTATGGCTTCCTGGTCCCTGGGAGATAGATCAAACATTTTTTTTCCTTTTTATTTATTTTTTGTGTGTGTGTGCTGGGGATCAAACCCAGGGCTTTGTGCATGCAGCTAAGCTAAATGCCAAACCGCGGATCAAACATTTGCTGTGTTCTTCACCTTTAGCCTTCTCCCTCACCCCTAGTCCTCCATCCCCATCCCTACCCTGTTGCCCTTAGTCCCCATGCCCACCCCTGCATCACCTGTAGCCTCCCACTCTAGTTGCCCTTAGCTCCCCACCCATACTCACACCGCCATGACCCTTAACATCTCTCCCCTCACCCATATACCCACCACCTGCATGGCCCATAGCCTTACCCCATGCCTTCAGTCCCCTCCCCCACCCTTAGCCCCTCCCCTCCCTTCAGTCTCCTCCCCTTTCCTTGGCTCCCCATCCCTCTCTTCTCTGTCCCACCCACTCATAAAGAGCCACCTCTGCCTCGGTCCCCTCATAGAACGCTTCCCACCGGGCTCACCAGAGTAGATACAGGGCTACCACAGCCCTCTCCCAGGGAGAAAGGGGTCCTTCTCGCTCCGAGGGCTCCGGGAAAAGGGAGCCACGCGGCCAAATCTCTAGGCTTTTACTCTAGGACTGTTCCAACTCCCAGAGACTGCGGGGGTGCCGAGGAGGGAGAGCGGAAGGTCCCGCCCCCTCCTGGGCTCCTAAGGGAACCCACCACGTGGCTGAAAGCCATTGAAGGCGGGAAGAAACGGGACTGGTTAGAAAAGACCCAGAATGAAGAAAATGAAGCTCTCAGAAGTCAGTCCAAAAGGTCCCGCCCCACCATGATGGTTTGTTCCATGCCTGGTGAGCCCCTCCAATATTTGGAATATTCTAGAACAGGAAGTAACTCCAACACCTCTGTGGCTACCAGTAGCCCCCAAGGAAGAGGAGAAGCCAGGAAACAGCCCATCCCCCAACGCCCACCCAACGGGACACTGCAATAACTTTGGTAATAAACAGTGGCTATTTCCATCCTCAAAATGTGCCCTGAATCTGTTCACCCCCATCCCTGATATTAGTTTAGACCCCCTCATTTCTTCCCTCAACCACTGCAGCTCTCTGACATCAGATACTGACCCGATCTAACCGTCATCAGTGCGATGTGATCCTGTCTCTCAAAACTTTCAATGACTTTCTGAGGCTTATAGGATAAACTAAAGAGATCCTAGGGTGAGTCCCACTTTTTTTGGCATTTTTATCATCTTGAATCTCAGTTTCTACCTATGGGCCCAGGATGAGGACAAAATGTTGAAAGTACATGTAAAGTTGAAGAAGTAATGGTTTGTGTGATCCCATTTTTAAAAATATAGAAATAAATCTCATATCATGTATATGTAATCTAGTATATCTTCATATATTTCTATAATCAGATAATTGGAGTGGGAAAGGGTGGCACCACACTCTTACCATAGTTATCTCTGGAAGGTGGAGTTGGATGGAAGGTTAGAAAAAAGTTTTTAACTTTTAAAATACATCTTTCTGTGATATAATGTGTTATAAACATGTAATTACATGTATATACATATATTTATTTATTTATTTAAAATATGGAAAGTTATATGCCAGCATTTTAATAATGGTTCTTTGGGTGCTGGAAATATAGACTATGGGTATGGGTATGTGGGGGTGTGTTTGTGTGTGTGGCCTCCCATCTGCTAGGCAAGCACTGTACCCCTGAGCAATATCCCCTTTAAAAAAAACCAACTTTATATTTTTGTCTATTATAAAGATTTTTTATAATAAGCCAGGCACAGTGGTGCATGCCTTTAATTCTAGTGATTTGAGAGGCTGAGGCAGGAGGATCACAAGGTCAAGGCCAGCCTCAGCAACTTAGGGAGACCTTGTCTGAAAATAAAAAGGACTGAGGATGTGGTAAAGTACCCCTGAGTTCTATCCCAAGTACCAAAGTTGTTTTTTAGAATAAGCATGATTTTTTTTTAAAACTTTTTGAAAACCTTTTCCCCAATAATGTCTGATCATGACAAATAATTTGTAAGTACCTGAAAAGCACATATCTTCCTATAATTCCACCCTCCCCCTATCCTGGGAGAAACCCATTTTAATTATTGATACACATCTTTCCAGCCTTTTAAAATAGGCAATAGAAAATAATTTTCAGTTTCTTAAAGGAGGCCTCAGTATATTTTCTCTTGCTTCCTCGGTTTTGCACAGGCTATTCCTTATGTGGTTGGCCCTCAGCCCCTCTGACACTCTTTCCATTCCTGTTCTTATCTACCTAGTTTCTATTTAGTTTCCATTCCTCTTACATAGGCACTCAAGCATTTCTCCCTCTTATAAGTATTCCTTGATTCTCCAAACCCCCTTCTGAGCTAGGCTGAATTGTGCAACATTTTTATGTCCTGATAATATGTGATAATATGTTTTGTATACCTCTTGCAGTACTTTTCACACTATATTATAACCTAATATTTTTAAATCTTTTTCCCCATTAACTAGGCATTACTTGAGGGTATAGTTTGTCTTAAATTGTCTTGTTTTGAACATCTCACATAGTAGTAAGCATTCAATACATTATTCATTAAATAAATTGAATGTGCAAAGAATACTTTTAAAAGAACCATGTTTTTTTTCCTTGTGATATCTTTTTCTTCATATACACTGATTTTTCTGCCACCTCACAGCTCTTGTGGTAGGGACCTCGCCTCAGTATTTGAAACCAACCAGTGTCTGACAGATTTGGAGTTTGTAAAAAATACCCTGGAAGATTCAGGAATGAAGCTTCTGTGTGAAGGATTGAAACAGCCAAATTGTACATTACAGACATTGAGGTAACTGGTAGCAGGATAATATGTTGTTTGTGTGCATTCCATTTTTTGGTCACTTTTTATTTGGGGGCAGGGTGAGAGCATAAATTAGGTAATGAAGCTACTTTTCTGTTCTCTAAAGGTTTTTTTAAAAAATATTTATTTATTTTTTAGTTGTAGTTGGACACAATACCTTTATTTTATTTATTCATTTTTATGTGGTGCTGAGGATTGAACCCAAGGCATTGCACATGCAAGGCAAGCGCTCTACCACTGAGCCACAACCTCAGCCCTCTCTAAAGGTTTTACCACCCATGCCTTATCTCTCCTGCATCTTGTGGGTCACTTGCTGCTGTTCTTAGCACCAGTCAGTGGCTAACTGAGCTGGAATTTAGTGAAACAAAGCTGGAAGCTTCAGCTTTGAAATTGCTCTGTGAAGGCTTAAAAGATCCAGGTTGCAAATTACAGAAGCTCAAGTAAGTTGCAATTGTTAGTTGCTATTCTGCAGGAATATTTAAAAAATACACAATTCAAGATGGGTGTGGTGTTAAAAAGCACATTTCAAAGAGTTATGGAAAACAAGAAAAAGAGTGACAATCCCTGAACTTGTCCTGTGTAACAAGTTTGGAAAAAATATTTTTTAATCTAAATGGCTTATAATCAATGTCAATATTAACTTATTGAGTACTTATTGAGTTCTTTATAATAAGCACTGTGCTAAGTGCTTTGTATAATAATTTCCTTTAATCTGCGTACAGCTCTAAGAGGTTCAGATTATTGTACCCATTTTAGCAGAGGAGGAAATGGAAGCCCAACATCATTAGGCTAAACAACATGGCAAGGGCAGAATTCAAAACCCAGATTTATATGAATTCACAGTCCATTGTATTCACCTTAATTAAATATTTGTCATCACATATGTATTAGTTAGGGTTTGACAGAGAAACAGATGGATAGGATGTTTGTGTGCATGTATGCATGTACACACACCCACACATGTGACAGTGTAGAGATTAATTTTAAAAGTTTGGCTCATGTGATTATGGAGATTGGCAAGTCTGAAATCTGCAGGGGAGGCTGGCAGACTGGAAACCCAGGGAAGAGCCCATGTTACAGTTAAGTCCAAAGGCTGTTTGTTGATAGGATTTCTTCTGAGGAGAAGGTCAGTATTTTTCCATTATCTTTCAACTGATTAGACATGTTTCTCCCACATACATTTTTCAAAGTCTACTGATTAAGATACTGATCGCATCTTAAAAGTACCTTCACAGAAACATCTAGAACAATGTTTGACCAAATATCTGGGTACCACGGACTAGCCAACTTGACACATAAAAGTAACTCACAATATATATGTGGGATTTTAAAAAATTTTGGCAGCACTGGGGATTGAACCCAAGGGTGTCTTACCATAGAGCTACATACTCAGCCCCCTTTTTAAATTTATTTTTTATTTTTATTTTTAAAAAATTTTTTTAGTTGTTGATTGGCCTTTATTTATTTACTTATATGTGGTGCTGAGTATCGAACTCAGTGCCTCACATGTGCTAGGCAAGCACTCTACCGCTGAGCCACAACTCCAGCCCCCCTTTTTAATTTTGAGACAGAGTCTTATTGTTGAGGATCTCAGTGAATTGCTGAGGATGGCTTCAAACTTGAGATCCTCCTGCCTCAGCCTCCCAAGTAGCTGGGTTTATAGGCATGTACCACTGTTCCAGCTTATATGTGGGATTTTTAAAAAGCAAAAGCTCTTTAGCATTAAAGCTTTATTAAATCCACTTTGAGAACTCATTTTATACAAAGTATCCCTTTTTAAAATTTCAAAACTGGGGAACTATAAATACATTTCCTTATGAACCTTCTTCAAGACTGAGTTTGGTGTATCCTCTACTCTTGCTCTGTGCCTTCTCTCCCTAAAAGTAGACCTCAAACTCCAAGATCTTGACTTCTGGGACAGCTTCCACGGCAAGGTCCCAGGATTGCTGGACTGGCATAAGGGGAATGTACCTGTCCTTGATGGAGCAGAACCTTACCAGATATGAACTTTGAATAGTTGAACCACCAAAAGTACCTTTTGGGAAAAAAAATTGCTGATGAATATGGTCCAGATAGTGAGCCCAACCTGTGGATGTGGGTGAAACCCAATGTGGTGTATCCCCATGGCAAGCTAGAAAGCGGAGGATCTGATGAGTGAGTTCCCATCCCCTCAGCCACTCCTGAAGGAGGAAGATTCCAGCTGCTTAGAGGTCACAAGGGCGAAATCATTGCTGCATTCCTCCAGTGAGCAGTCTCTCTTGGAAGCACTTCACCTCTTCCTCCAGCAACTGGGAGCTCCCTGAAGAGGAGGAGGCTAAGGACCAGGATGACAGCTCCTCTGTGGCTCTCTGTCTCCTCACTCAAGGGCTCGCCTCCAAAGGTGGTGGCTTCCCAAAGCCATCAGCCCAGAGGGAAGGGCTCTGGTCCCAGCCCCCTCTCAATTACTTCCACCTAATTGCCCTGGCACTAAGAAACAGTCCCTGCTGTGGGTGGCCTCAATATGTAGCAGATCTGCAGTTTCATTTGTCAAAACTTCCCCTTTTTCTGGACAGCACAGCACCAAAAGGCTGGAAGAATACTGTTCATCACAATCTCTGTTTCTGTGACAGCTTTCAGAAAGTGTCCATGTGATGCTCTTCCTCTTTAACCTTTAACTCTAAGAAGCAAAGTCTGCCATGCCCTACTAAAGTTTCTTTCAACAGCCAAAAAAAAAAGACTTAGTTTGGAATATAGTGAGTCAAGAAAAAAATTGAGGATTAAAAGATCGTAGTGTATATCTAGAAATTCTTGAAAGTGGTAAAAAGAAAAGTTGATGGAAAATGGTTCAGGAATTTGACTACTTAATATGGAGAAACAAAGATTAAGGCAACAGGGAAGTCAATAAAAAACACTCTTCATTCCCCAAAATGAATATTATATGGATGATTCTGATAAATTAGGTTTCTCTAAGGATGGGAAACTAATAATAGTGGATATTTAGATAAGAGGAAAAGAGGGCTGGGGTTGTGGCTCAGTGGTAGAGCACTTGCCTAGCACTTGTGAGGCCCTGAGTTCAATCCTCAGCACCACATGAAAATAAATAAATAAATATCTATCAACAACTAAAAAAAATTAAGAAAAGAGGAAACACAGTGCATTGGCTGTAAAGTTTATTAAGGACAATTATAGAATTTTCCCTCTGGGATTTGAAAGAAATGAGATAGAGTGTTAAATTAATACAGGAATTTAAAGTTAGATTAGATTATCAAGATTTCGGCAGTCATAGTTGTGCCAGGGCACCAAGATGTCGTTTCCAAAGTATAAGCCCTTGTGTCTGGCCACTCTACTCCCTACCCTTGACCCTGCTGAGTACATCAAATACACCATATCTCCGGAAACCCTAAAGGCGCAAGCTGAGAGGTTGGCCATAAGAGCCGGCTTAAACGGGGGTATCTGCTTCAGTACAATGACCCCAACCGTGGAGGGCTCATTGAAGATCCTGCCTTAATTCACTGGACCTATGCAAGATCGGAAAATATCTATCCAAATTTTAGACCCACTCCCAAGAACTCACTCTTAGGAGCTCTGTTTGGAATTGAACCCCTGTTCTTCTGGTATTATGTTTTCAAAACTTATAGGAATAGGAAGGAAAAACTTACTCAGGAAGGAAAATTGGACTGAAAATTTAATATCTCCTATTAAGTCTGGCAATGTTGACTAATATATTCTTGCTTAATAAATCTTCTAATAATCATTTTAAAAAAGATTTCCTCCCAACCCTTTTCTAAGATAAGTCAACGTTTATTGAGTTCCTACTGTGAAACACCTTGTTTTGGAAACATTTCATAATTTTGTGACATGATTTGGGGTCTTGGGCTGGGGATGTGGCTCAGGCAGTAGCGTGCTCACCTGGCATGTGTGTGGCGCTGGGTTTGATCCTCAGCACCACATACAAGCAAAGATGTTGTGTCTGCCGAAAACTTAAAAAAAAAATTAAATAATTCTCTCTCTCTCTCTTTCTTTCTAAAAAAAAAAAAGATTTGAGGTCTTATAACTGTGAAACTTTTTTTTTCTGTTCATGTGGTATTATAGGTAGAAAGTTAGTAGTATTCTAAAATGGCCAATTCTATCTCTCTTCATCTTTCTTTTCAGGTTGTGTGCTAGCCTCCTCCCAGAAAGCTCAGAGGCTGTTTGCAAGTATCTTGCCTCTGTTCTCATTTGCAACCCACATCTCACTGAATTGGACCTGAATGAAAATCCCCTTGGGGACAAAGGAGTGAAGTATCTTTGTGAGGGTCTTAGACATTCCAACTGTAAATTGGAGAAACTAGAGTAAGTTTCTTACAACTCTCTTGCATCATCTAATGATCACTTGTTGAGTGCAAGCTATGTGCTTGGTGCTTCCCAGAAGTTATCTCACTTTATTCACTACTTAGAATAAACATAAAGGGCAGACTTTCTTATCTGTATTGTACAGATGAAGACACTGAAGATTAGAGGAAAAGTGACTTGTTCAAAGTCATACTGCTAATAAGTGATAGTCAGGATGTGATTCCAACATATATCTCCAAATCTGATATTCTTTGTAGTATACCACAGCTTTGTGTTTATAGGAATGACATCAATTATTAACTACATAAAATATACCTACTATGTATCCAAAGATTGTGGGGATAGATGTCAGTGGTGTTATCAGAAGTTCTTCATGTGATAGGGCTACCCTTAAGAACATAACAGATACTTAACCATATTGTGGAATCGTTTAATGTCAGATGAGCTCAGGAAGAGGATGAGGTCACTGTTGGCTGGAGACATCAGGAGGCGCTTCTGTGAAGGTGGTGGGACACGAGCTGGAATTCAAAGGAGGAAGCAGGGAGCCTGCTAGGACATGCCCAGGAATCCCAAATGATGACAGTGGCTGATTTTTCTTTTCTTTTCCTCTGATTAGCTTAAGCAAATGTTACCTCTCAGATGTGAGCTGTGTGGAGCTCTCTTCTTTCTTGCAAGTGAGTCACATTTTAAAAGAACTGTTTGTGTTTGCCAATGTCCTGGGAGACAGGAGTACAGCATCTCTGTGAAGGTCTGCTGCATGCAAAGGGAGTAATTGAGAATCTTGTGTATTGTCTGCTTATCCTTGTCCTCATGAGCTTTTACATTTGAGGATCAGCAGGAATCCCAGCTGCTATAGTTAACAGCCATCGTGGTGTCTTCATCTTTCCAGGCTTTCTGAATGTTCCCTCTCTGTAGCTTCCTGTAAGCCCCTTGTCCAAGTCCAGAGCTCCACCTGGAGCCTGACAAGACTGCTTTTGATTAATAACAGAATTGAAGATTTGGGACTGAAATTGCTGTGTGAAGGATTAAAACAGCCCGGCTGTCAGTTAAAGGATCTGGTGTAAGTATTCTGGACTATAGCCATAGGCAGTTTCTTGATAGTTGAGCAATTCCCCAAATTAAATATTTCTTGGCCTGGTGATTGAATCTCCAAGGAAGCAATAAATGAAGAGCCAGATAATTTAGAGGGAATAAATTATCCTTTCTCCACAATCACTGCTTTGCTCTGACCCAAGGGATTTTTTTCTAACGTGGCACTCTAATTATCTAATGTGATTTTCTGACGGGAAAACACAACTCCTAAAGTAACCTGGTATAGATGAAATGTCATCAGCTGTCTCTTCCTTAATTATTGGCAGGTTATGGACCTGTCATCTGACTGAAACGTGTTGCCAGGATTTTTGCAGTACACTCTATACAAATGAACACCTGAGAGACCTTGACCTCAGTGACAATGCCTTAGGGGAAGAGGGCATGAAGGTGCTGTGTGAAGGGCTGAAACACCCCTGCTGCAAGCTACAGTCCTTGTGGTAAGTGTATGGAGATTCATGTCTAGTGAATTTTGTTTTGTTTTGTCTTTTTTTTTTTTTTTTTTTTTCCTTTTTTGTACCAGGGATTGAACCCAAGGGTGCTTGACCACCAAGCCACATTCCCAACATCCTCAGCCCTTTGTTATATTTTATTAGAGACAGGGTGTTGCTGAGTTGCTTAGGGCCTTGCTCAGTTGCTGAGGCTGGCTTTGAACTTGTGATCCTCCTGCCTTGGCCTCCAGAGTTGCTGGGATTGCAGGTGTGCATAGCTGTGCCTGGCTCTAGTGAGCTTTTGTTTCAGGCTATTTATGAAAGGGAAGGCCACTATGGAACTTGGGATTTCACAGATTTCTTTCTTAAATCTTCAAACCCTTCAGGTTAGCAGAATGTCACCTCACAGGTGTGTGCTATGGAGCCCTTGCCTCAAAGTCTTCAAACAGAAATGAGAATTTAACATTGCTAGACTTAAGTGGAAATGACCTCAAGGATTTTGGAGTGCAAATGCTCTGTGATGTACTGATTCATCCAATATGCAAACTTCAGATATTCTAGTAAGTCACTATGGTCGGGGAAATGGGCAGCGGGCCCTTTTCAGGACAGGCACATTAGGTTTGGTCATCACTCACTTTAGTGAAGAAAGAGAAGTAAAACTGAAGGCAGACAAAGCTTAGACAAAATAATAAAGTAAGTTTAAGGGGAGAAGCTGAGAACAAGCAGCCTTGTATCTTGCTACTAAAGGAAGAAGCTTGGTAGGGGAAAGAGAGCATAGGATCTAGATTTTGCTAGGTCTGGCTCAAATCCTGGATCTTAACATCTACTGGCTACATGACCAGCATGCTAACTTAATCTCTCTGAATTTCAGTATCCTTGTCTGAAAATGGGGATGAAGCTGGTATTGACTACCCAAGGTTAACATGGGCACTGGATTTAGATGTACAACCTTTAGCACATAGGAAGTACTCCATAAATTTTAGGCCGTTTCCATTTCTACTTTTAATACATTATGGAATGCTTAATATGTATATTTTAAGTGTCTCCAAAACTCAAGGGGATGAAGCTGTAGTTGTATAATTACGGAAGATGGAGGTCTTAACCCTCCCTGATCAGTGTCCGTCTGTCAACTCAGTAGGCTGGCATAACACACAAAGTAATTCTTAATTACAATACAACTGTGCTCTGTTGGCAACTAACTAGTGGCCAAATGACCATTTGTTTCTGGCATTCAGAACTGGAACACATAATGGAAAATAAAGCCTGAAAATAAAAATTCCACATTCCAAAATCCATTTGATAGGTTGAATTGTAAATGAAAACAGCATAAAGGATGGATTACAAGTATGTCTAAAACAAAACTGGTTCTTTACTAGAGAATGAAGTCTGCTGGTACCAAAGGCTCAAGAGTGTGGTGATTATTGCCCAAGCAGAGGTTAATTATGCACAACATTACAAACCTCAGGGATTAGGGACCTTCATAGTGTCTCTTTCAAAAAGATGTAGATGGAGCCTTTATTTTCAAGAAAGTTAAATAAACTCAGCTACTAACTTAAGGTTTATTTAAATGAAAGTAGTTTTAACATGGCAGCACCCAACAGTGTGTATGGTGCGGTAAAGTTTCCAAATAATAGCAAGAAGAAATTATTTTGGGGGGGATGGTGTGCAGTTACTTGTTTTTGTTGTTGTTATTAGTTTTAAATTGTTACACTATTTCCCATTTCTCTTATGTTTTTAACCTATGTCTTTTAACCTATAAGCTTTAATTATGTTTTCAGGCCAACTTTCAAACCCTCATAACTTGTCAATCCACAAGTTGAGGGCAGTGTGCAATTGTAAATTTGAACATAAAATAAAGGACACACAAACAGAGTAGAAATAATATGTTGATTTCAAATAAATTTTGAGTGTTAGAATGTATACAAAACAAAACTGAAATCATTGGAAACAGGTACTAACCCAAGTTAGAGGAACATGTGGATCATTTAATATAGTGAGCCAGCGATGAGTCAATCAAGAAGAGCCTCCTGAGAATTGTCTTCTCTAGAAATTATAAAGGCTATAAGATGGTTATTTTCTATGAGCTGCTTCAGTGCAGGGTCTGAATCTTGTTCCTCATTATAGTTCCCCTGGCACAGTGCTTGGAACTACATATAAGAAGCCAGTTAATAATTTAGATCATCCAGGGCCAAAGCAAGAAGACAATTATTATTATGTTTAATAAAGACTAAGTGTCTAGATGTTCAGAAGATCAAGAAAAATAAAAAGTGTGTCCTTTAAATGACAAAGCTCATCTTCAGTCATTCCACAAGCACTTATTCCATACCTCTTATGTGTCAGATTGATGTTCCAGGTGATGTAATGAAACAAGAATGAATAAGATATGAGACATCGTTAATACTTTTCAGGGGCCAATGAGCCCAGTAGTAGAGAGATACCTAAACTCATTAAAGCAATGAGATAATCAACCAAGAGGTATTAAGGAAGCCATTGCAGGATACACTAACCCAGCTCAAAAGGGTCAGGGAAAGCTTCTTGGAAGAAAGGCCACAAAAGTTGAATGTTTATGACTATAGCTAGGGGAGGTGGGGGTAATGATGGAGGAGGGTAGTCCAGGCTTAGGAGATAGCATAAGGAAAGGTACCCAGACAACAAACAACATGGTTTATGGTTCATGATGAGAACAGGGGTGTGAAATTTCTGAGAACTTTGACATTGCTGGAGCACAAATTGCTAAGCGGTATGTCAGTAAATGGGCCTGGGGAGGAGTCAGGACCCTCATATATCATATGTGACAAGTTAGACTTGTTAGTAGAATTTGAGCACATATTCAGTCGGCTCTTTATCCTACATGCTCCTGTAGTAATAGTACATTTTGGAACCACTCCTTATCCCATATTTCCAAAGCTAGATGGGAAATCAGTCTATGGTTGCTGCTGCTTCTCACTGATCCTTGGTGTTCATCTTGAGAACGATCCTACCCATTCAAACAGAAGCTTGGTAACTGAACAGTGATGTACTGGTTGTTCCAGAATCCCTACTAGCCCTGCAGTGACATTACACTTCCACTCCACAGTTACAGATATTTTAATCTATATGCAAATATGCACTTATTGTTTTATAAAGTACCATTTGTGTCAGGGTAGCTGAGTGTGGAGGAGCTCCATTTATCACCACAGGTATGTACATGCTGAAGGCTTCTCTTGCTTACCAAGGCCTTTTGAGTGAAGCAATGTTCACCATTTAAGCCTTCCTCTTTCTTCAAGTCAATTTTATTTTAGTCATCTTGGCGTCTTTCCCAGCCAGTGGACCTTGGATGAGATTCCCTAGCTCATCCTTGATACTTGTTCCTAATTTTAAATGTAGAAATAAAGGATTGAGAGTTCTCTTTACTTCCAGAAGACATCTAGGCTTCCTGATAAAATTGCCCCCGCAAACCCAGTGATAAATGCTACCTATAACAAGGGAAGGCAGCTTTTGTTAGGTCACTCAAAATACTCTAAAGGTGTTCTTACACTTGTATGGCATTAAATATACACCTACCATACAATTATATAAATGAAGCCATTCATTTTGCTTTTCTAGATAAAGATTAGTTTTTATCCACAAAAAACTATACTTCGCTTCATAATTGAAAGAGTTGTCTTTTGTAGTCAGTAGGCTTTAATCATGGATACATATATTGAGTTTGAAGTGCCTGAGAAACACTCAGGAAGTTTTCTAGTAGGTAGGCAGCTGGATACAGGAGTATGCCCTGGGAAGCAATCATCTATGTAGAAATGATATCTGAAGTTATGGCAGTGGTTAGTATCTGTTAGGAAGAGTTAAGAGAGAAGAACATGAAAAATCTCTCTGGAGGAATAGGTCCTGAGCAATATCAGCTTTTAAGAGGTAGCTATGGAAAGGAAAAACCATGGAGAGAACCAAGAGAGAATGGTGTTCTTGAAGCCAAGGGGAAAATGAGTTTCAAGGAAGAAATGCTCAACAACATCAAATGCAGCAGAGAGGTCCATTAGAATGAGTACTGAAAAGTGTGCATTGAATTGAGCAATTAGGAATTTATAAGTGACCTTATGAAATGATATTTTAGTGGTGGGGTAGGTTCAGAAACCATATTGCAGTAACTCGAGAGAAGTAAGTAAATGGAGAGAGCAGAGAGTACTTTTTCAAGAAGTTTGTGAAAAGTACAGATGTAAGGTCACAGCTGGACGGAGGTGTGGGGCTGCAAAAAGTAGGGAGTTCTCTTTTTGCCTTGAGATAGGTACGTTTGTAGGCTTAGATAAAGAAGCCCATAGAAAGGGAGACATTGCAGCTACAGGAGCAGGAACTAATGGAATAATGGAACAGGGGGTTGGACAAGGCAGGGACAGGAGTGAGAATCTAAGAGGAAAGGAGTTAAGGCTGGGGGAGGAGGTAGATAAATGAGTGGATGCAGTAATTGATTGGTGCCATGGAGCAAGTATGAGTGGGAATGTTATCCTTTAGAATAGGAGAGTTGCTTCAAGAATCTGCTGGTTTGACTTTACTCAAGATTTTTTCTTTTTGTTTCTCACAGCATTGACACAGATCATTTACATGAAGATACATTTAAAAAGATGGAAGCTTTAAAAATGAGCAAGCCTGGAATTATCTGGTAATTTCCAAGGAGAGCCTCTGAAAAGACTTCATATAGACTCTCTCCATTTGGTACCACCTTTAACAGATGTGCAGTATTGTTTTTCCAAATCTGTTAACCTTTGCTGAGGAATCTCCTATGAAACTAGTATCAGTGATTGCCATTTCTTACATAAAACCGTCCACTAAATAGGATGTAAAAGACAGAAGCACCTTAGTTGAAATGTTTTCAGCAATAATACCTTATATTTATATATTGTATTACCATGTTAACTGTACTGTCACAAGAACCTCTAAGGTGGGAAGGTTAGGTTTAGAAAAGTTGTGACTAACTCCAGGTTACACAGATCATTAGTGAGAGAGCTGAGGCTGGAATTCAGCCAGGTCTTCCAACTCTTAGACCATGCAAAAGAAACAGTAGGAAAAAAACATGAATGAGTCTACTTAAACAAGATCCTTGAATCGATTAAAAGACAAAGGAGTATACAAACATACATTATATCTTATGGTGCTGATTTTAAGTAAACTTATATTTCATGAAAGAGAGAGAAATGAGCTAGATTAATTGGGAAAGTCTCATGGAGGAGGTAAGACTTGATGTTGGTCTTGAAGAGTGAGAAGGATTGAGATAGACAAAAGTATAATAGACCTTGGTTTTAAGACTGCAGGGTGACACATGCCTGTAATCTCAGCAGCTCAGGAGGCTGAGGCAGAAAGATTGCCAGGCTCAGCAACTTAGTGAGTTTAAGGCCAACCTCAGCAACTTAGTAAGACCCTGTCTCAAAAAATAGAAAAGATTGGGGATATGGCTCAGTGGTTTGGCATCCTTGGGTTTAATCCCTGGTACCAAAAAAAAATTAGAATTTAAAAAAAGACTGCAAGGTTACAGGGCTATTTTTGTAAGTATCTCATTAAAAGAGAAAAGAGAGAAATATTTGCTTTAGAATTTCGTGAGCTACCATAGTATCCATACTACTACTAGGCTCCTGAGAGTGCTCTCCAGTTCCCAGTCTTAATTCTTTTTCTGAACCTTTTTAAAAAATATATATTTATTTTTTACTTGTAGTTGGACACAGTACCTTTATTTTATTTGTTTTTATGTGGTGCTGAGGATCAAACCCAGGGCCTTGAATTGCTAGGCAAGTGCTCTACTGCTGAGCCACAACCCCAGCCCCCTTTTTCTGAACTTTTAGTATCTCATAAATGTGTTTGTATTTGTTCATGGGTTACCAAGACTAACACACTCCTCATTCCTGACATCTCACTTCGCCCAACAATGATCATTCATAGCACCCTATTCTTATCTCTGCCTAGTTTTCACAAAATGTCAGATGAGACAAATGCAGAAATAGAGTGCCAGGCAAGGAAAATAACAAAAACTCATTGAAATAGATGTGAATGGAGTATGGGATCAACAGAAATAGGCTGGCCTTATTAAAGTGTAGAGTTGTTCCTGGAAGCTATTCAACTACCTGTGCGACCCTGAACAATTCACTTAGATTCCTAGAACCTCCATTTTCTTATCTATAAAATGGGATAAATTGATTTTAGCCTTGAAGGGCTGCTTCCCAATGTTTCCTTCTCCACAGTAGGCATCAATTAGTTGTACTTGTTTGTATGAGTATGTGTCTATAGTATCATTCAGCTGTATAGTCTTTGAACTCCTAGATTTTCTTGCTGTAGTAATCCGAGTTAACTTTCCATTTGAACTAAATATGTGCTAGAGGCAGTGAATCTAGTGGTAGAAGAAACAAAGTGAGACAATACTTCAGGTGAGAGATTGTGGAAAATCCAGCTGTTCCATGACCTTATCCATAATTGTATATTTTTTACCACCTCCTGGGAGATGGTAACTCTCAGTAAGGAGACCAGGCTCCCATAAGAATAATAATCAAAATAGTTTGTTCCCAGATTAATCAAGTTCCCTTTACTCATTTAACATATATTTATTGAATATTTATTATATGCCAGGTTTTGTGCTAATGTTGGGTTTACAGAGATGATTATGCCTTTTCCTGAGCACTTCCCCTCTTTTGAATTCTCTGATTACCCTAGTTCCTCTGTCAGGCTGGTAAAAATATGATAAAACTCAGTCACATTAAGAACTTAAAGATATAAAGTTAAAAGAAAAATTGCAAAACTGTGTGTGTGTGTGTGTGTGTGTGAAAATCATGTATATGTATTTGTATGTGTCTGTACAGAAAAATGTATGGAATAATATATATGATTAATCACAAATACTGATAAGCTCTGGCAGGAAGAATTTGGCAAGCAGGGCAATAAATAGAATAGGAAAGAAACTTTTTATCTATATCCTCCTGTTCTACTTGATGTTTTTACCATGTACATGTATTACTTTTATAATTAATAGACTTGCTGTTAAAAATAAAAATCATACTGGTGAGTTATTTTTCTTCTTTTAAAACACTTTGTGATACTGGTGCAAAGACAGACATACACAATGAAACAGAATAGAGATAGAAATATCTACCCTCATTGGACAACTGATGCAATGCAAAGAGATAATATTTTCAACAAATCGTGCTGTAACAATTGGATAGACATTTGCAAATGAATGGCTCTACATCCTTAATTCATACAAATATTGGCTCAAAATATAGCCATCATGTGCTACCTGTCCTCTGCTTACCCTCCCTTCACTTTTTAAATATTTCAAACTTTCTCTTGCCCTTCTACCTCATTTTCTGTTTACTTAAGGAGCTGTAATTTTACTACCAGTTAGAACAAGGCCAGAAGCATCACAATCCCTGATCTCAAATTATACTGCAGAGCTATAATAACAAAAAACAGCATGCTATTGGCATCAAAACAGAGATGAAAATGAATGAAATAGAAGACACAGAGACAAAGTCACATAGTTACAGTCATCTGATACTTGGCAAAGCTGCCAAAAATATGTTAGAGAAAAGACAGCCTTTTTAACAAATGGTGCTGGGTAAACTGGATATCAATATGTAGACAATGAAACCAGATGCTTATCTCTTGCCTTGCACAAAAGTCAAATCAAAGTGGATTAGAGATGCCAGAATTAGACCAGAGACTTTTTAACTGCTAGAAGAAAACACAGTGTCAGTACTCTATCATGTTGCCAGAGGTACTGACTTCCTTAACAAGAACCCTATACCTCGAGGAATAAAACCAAGAATCAATAAGTGACATGGCATCAAATTAAAAAGCTTCTGCACAGAAAAGGAAGCAAGCGCATGAAGAGAGAACCTGAAAAATGGGAGAATAGCTTTGTCACTTACTCCTATGACAGGGAATTAATGCCCAGAATATATAAAGAATTGAAAAATCTTAACACACACACACACACACACACACACACACACACACACAAAGCCACCAATCAATAAATGGACAAAATAACTGAATAGGTATTTCTCAAAAGAAGAAATACAAATGGCTAGCAAATATATGAAAAAGTATTACACATTCGTAGCAATCAGTGAAATGCAAATAAAAACTACACTAAGATTTTATCTCACTCCTGTTAAAATGGCAATCCTTAATAATATAAATAATATAAATGCTGGAGAGGATGTGGGGGAAATGTTACTCTCACACATTGTTGGTGAATCTGCAAATTAATGCAACTACTTTGTAAAGCAGTGGGGAGATTCCTCAAAAAACTAGAAATGAAACTACCAAATGACCCTGCTATCCCACTCCTTGGTATTTATCAAAAAACAAAACCCCTAAAATTAGCTCACTTCAATGTTTATTGTAGCACAATTCACAATATCCAAGTTATGGAATCAACCCAGATGCCTATCAACAGATGAATGGAAAAAGAAAATGTGGTATAGATATACAATGAAGTTTTTTTCAGCCATAAAGAAGAATGAAATTATGGAATTTTTTGGTAAATGGATAGAACTGGAGAGCATCATGCTAAATGAAATAAGGCAGATTCATAAGCTCAAGGGTTGAATATTTTCTCTTATATGCAGAAGACAGAGCAAAATTGAGCCACAACCCCAGCCCCTCTATGGGTCATTCTTATGTGGAGTCCTGTGCATGATTCTCACCTGCGCCCTTTACCTCTGCCCAGTGGTATTATGGAAGTTACCATGACTCCCAAATCTGTGTTACCCCTTGTGTCCTTTTGCATTAACCACATTCTGTTTATCTCTCTGATGCAAAATGGCATTCAGAGATTGAGAATGCTGAATAGCTCCTCTTTCTAATTTTTTTCCATGGAAGCACATCGTCAGGTTGATCAACATCATTATTTCTTAGGAAAATGAAAATTAAAACCACCATGAGCCTCAACTACACACCCACTAGAGTGGCTAACATTAAGGTTGACCACATTCAACATTTATAGTGATGAAACTCTAAAAAATTGATTATGAATGTAAAATTGTATATCCAATTTGGAAGAAAAATTTCAGTTGTTCACAATGTTACTTACATACCTTATATCCAAACTATTTTATTCTTAGGTATTTACTCAAGAGAAATGAAAGCATATGTCTACATGACTTGCATGTGAATGTACATACTATCTTTATTCACAACTCAAGTCCTCATGAGCAAGTAAATGGATAAATAGACTGTACCATATCCATACAATATAATACAGCAAATATAAAAAGAACAAACTGTTGATGCATGCAGCAATTTGAACGAATCTCAGAATAAATATGCTGAGTGAATGAAGCTAGGAGAATAGGATACAAACTGTATTATTTTGTTTTTATAGATTTCTAGAAGATTCAAAAAGTACTGTATTTGTGACAGAAAGCAAGTAAGAGCTAATTTGGGAATAGGAATGGGGAGATGAAGAGATAGACTCAAAGGGGCACAAAAAAACTTTTCTGGGTGATAGATATGTTCATTATCTTGTCTTTGATGATTTCAGTCAAAAAATTTCAAGTTGTATTTTTCAAATGGATTCAGTTTGTTATATGTCAATTTTACCTCAATCGAGCTATAAACACAAATATTCATACACATATTCATAAACATGTCTGAAAGAATCATTTAAGAACACAATTTTCTAACTCCCTTATTCTACAGATGAAGAACCTGGACTCCAAATAGGTCCAGGTAACACAGTTAATTCATGATAAGACTGAGATAGGATCTTAAATATCCTTATTCCTGTTCTTGTTCTTAGTACACCAGAGGAGGAATTCAGATCAACATAATAAATTTCATTTGGCGGATTTTCAGGCTTTTGTGTCATACCAGTGGAAAAGACACACTTAATGACAAGTGGTGACTTTCCCAGGATCTTTTCAATAGTGTGCTGGAACTGACTTGTACTGATTCATGAGTGCTGTTGGTTAATTTCCAAAGGAAGTTTTCAAGTTAGTGGTTGAAAGAAGTCATTATTAAAATTTAGATCATATAAGACTACAATTAAATAAGTTACACTAAAATAAATTTAATGAATACTCAAACTCATCACTTCCTAATAATTTTACTACAATCTGTTATTAAAGTTATTTACATTTTTATAATCTGTGTAATAGAAATATTAAATAACTGTGTTTTATTTTACATCTCTTCTCTTTTCCATTCAGTGACATCATATTGGTAGCCTGAAATTGGCCATAGTGGGAGTGTCTACACCAGATAAATGATCAAATATTACAAATCAGGGATCTCCTTCCTACCCAAAGAACTTGTTGTTAGATACTAGTGCATTTCTGCCTTAAAGCATCATTTTTCTCTGGCATTCATTTATGTCTGGACTGGAAGACAACCCATCAGTGCCTAAAATCATGCTAGATAAACAGTGGACCATCAGTAAG